ATATATAATATTTGTTACAACTAGTTTTTGAATAGCAGACTAAACATGACTAAAGTTTTTTTTTTACAGGTTTTAGAAGTGTATTCCGGAAATGTTCTACTAGGTAGCGTTACTGAAGAATGGAGTCTTTGGCGACCAAAGTTTTATATTCGCGATGCATCCGGCCAACCAGTGTTAATGATAAAAGGTCCACTTCTTCGATTTTGTATTGATGTAATTTTTAAGGTACTGCAACATTTCAAATTTTATCTAATTCATGCCACCTATAATATTTTATTATTTTTATTGTAATATATATTATATTATATTAATGTTTTTTTACATTTTTCTTTGAATTAAGATATAAGAATTTTAAAAATTGTATGATAATGAATAACGATATTACAAACTTGATGACTATTTGGTTAATAAACTATGTTTTATTATATATTATAATAAGCGTTAAGATTTTCAGAATTATTCATCAATAATCAAATCAAACAGGTTAAATCTATAGATCAAAAGCATCGTGTTGGCACGATTCAAAAACAATGGAGTGGCTTTGCTCGAGAGATGTTTACCGTTTCCGATAAGTTCGGTATTAACTTTCCGCGCGATCTGGACGTGAAAATAAAAGCTGTGCTGCTAGGAGCATGTATTTTAATAGTAAGTATTGTGCAAATACTACAATCACTTTTTTTTAACAAAAGAGATACAAAGAAGAAAACAAAAGTAATTATAAGACTCAATATGTATAAAACAGTATAAATATAAAAAGGGTAACAAACCAAGTAAATTAACGAACAATTTAATTTAAACAATCATATAAACATATCAAAAACAAACGTTTCGATTCTGATCGGATTATTTTCAATGTTACATAAAATATGAAGTATTATAAAATTCTTCATTAAGTCAAAAAATATTCTCGATTCAATGCAAGTTTCAGTCAATGTTGGTGTCGTAAGCATAATTAATCCTTGTCAAAATAAAAGAAAAAGAAGTAACATGTCCATAAATAAAAATTCCAAGTCACAATAGTAAAAAATATTATAATTAAAAATTAAATAAGATAATTTACAGCAAACAAAAATGAGAATAGCACTGATTTTTGTAATGACAAATAAGGTATAAATGAATGACTATAAAGAAGAAAGACATACAAAGAACCATTATAACGAAAAAAAAATTACACTTCCATTATATGAAAGTAAAATTCCAGAAAATGGAAGCGATCGCCAATGACCTTGACTTTGATATATGTTGTCAGGATGATGACCTTGACAAAGGTCATCAGAGTGATGACCTTGGGAGCTCTCCAACACACAAGTTCGGAAACAGTTTTTAAAATTAATTTTTAATGCAAAAATGAAAATAAGAGAACAACCTCCAATAGGCTTGATTTTGTCAAATGTTATCTAAGTCATTCTCTCTCTCTCTCTCTCTCTCTTCTCTCTGAACAACCATCAAGAGGTTTTAGCCGTCGGTCGGATACTTTGGGCAATGATAATGCCGACGGTACTGTAAATGTTAAGCATCATAACTCGGAAAGTACTTAATGATAAGTAACTTTATTATAGCGTTTTGGAAAGCTCTTGACATCAGCTATTAGATTTTAGAATAAAAGATAGTGTTCCCCATTAAACGAAATCGATTTGATCTTGACTTGACTTTGGTGGTGTCACCCAAAGTCAAACGAATGTGATCAGTAAATAGATCTTTTTAAGCCCTACAATTTTTGTTGGAAATATTTTTCTCGAAAATGCTTTGTTTTCGAGATATTCAATCGTTTCCGGACTTTTGATACACCATGTATGTTTATAACAAAAACAAGACATTATTTCTTAAACTTTTATTAATCACTTTTTGTTAACTTTTTGGCGAACAATCAACGGCTGAAAAAAACCTGTTGGAGATTACTCGAGATCATCACGTTAACGAAATGTTAAGATCAAAATCATCGGTGATTGCTCCCTTTTTTTGTAGTTTTATCCAAATCAATCAATTAATTAGTTTTATTTTCGCTTTAATTACTGTGTTCATACTCTTATTTGCCCAAACATTTGTGTTTTTAATTAGTTTTAATTGGTTTTGAATATTTCAATTATATAAGAAACGAAATTTCAAAGAGAAATTGCTAATGCAAATCAAATTTCTATTAGTATGAATGTAGTTTAATTTTTAGTATACAATATGTTGACTTTAACGTTATTTGTTATATGTTTTAGGACTTTATGTATTTCGAGTGGCGGAATTAAGTCAATCTATTTTAATTTTTAAAAGTAAACCAAAGCGACTTATTCTGATGAACGTTATCAACGTATATAGATACATATATATTTTGTTATTTGAGGAAATACCTCAAAAGGCATGTTTATGCTAACTTATAAGTAAGTATTAAAAATCTCTATCAAAACATATTTTGTAACGCACAAATATCTAAAAAAATATTTAATTATTAAATGCAATTGTAAAGCGAACGCCTTTATACATACATATAGAAGGAATCATTTGAATTCTAACTACAATATTATATGTATTAATACATACACACACACATATATTATTACACCTTTTTGGATCAATTTACGAATAATATTTATTGATTTTATATATAATCGAACCGTAAAATATACATTCGTGAAAATGTAATTAAACTTGTGTTCATTGAAGAGTTCGATTTTTAAAAACTCTCTATTTTATTATGAGCGTGTAATTACCTGTCCATTTAAATCGTTACTCATTTCCAATATATGTATCTATTTTCCTTTTCGCTTAAATTCTTTTAAATATCGTGATGTATAATATAACGATATTAAACTTTCTTCCTGCATTTGCATACACATACGAAAGACAAGTTCTTACTTGATATAATTCAGCATTGAGATTGGCCTCTACTTTGCTGAGACATATACAAAATGTATGCGAGTTGTATGTACAAATGAATCTAAAAATTTGTGAATTATTAAGTATTATTTTTATATAAATATCTTATGTGCGATGTAAAAACTATCGTATATGACAACATAAACATAAACAATTTAAATTGTATATGATAATATACACTTTTTGATTCGTTATAATTTTTGAACTTTGTATGAATATTGCTATGTATTTTATTGTTCGTATAATAAGAGCTTCGCATATTTGTATGGCCTAAACAATGTTCATTTAATAAAATTAAACTTTTATATGTTTTTGTTTGCACGTATTTTTCAATATACCGAAATATAATTTTTGGCGTAAGATATACATAACACAGATATCTAAATACTTTATACAATAAGTCAAACTTAACCATTTATACGTGAATAAAAGACAAAAAGAAGCGTACCAAATACGGTTAAAGTTGCATCTCGATGTCTAATTATATTTTTATGTGAATTATTAAATAATTTTCCAATTCTTCACATAATTCACATTAAAGTATTAGACATCAGAATACAATCTTATCGTATTTGATACTTTTCTTATTTTATAATTAGATTGATAAAAAATCTACTTATTGTACACTTATTTTTAAAACGTTTTTTCAAACAAACACTTTTTATCTTTTTTTATTCGTAATAAATATAGAATTATTAAATTGATTAATGTAAAACGCCAAAATCTTAAAAGTATATATGATCTCCTTTATTAATATTTTGAATAATGATGATATAATTAACTATCATGTTTCTCAATATCAGAATCCTAAATTGAAGATTTACTGCAAATTGTTTAATGGATTATCCCATCATGATGATAAAAAGAATAAAAATAAATATATAAATTAACAATTTCAAAACATGTAACAATCAATTTGAAAAGTTACAATAGAGATATCCTCAGGATTTCACAAATGGTACATCAGGAATTAGAAAGTCGAATAAAATGAGGAGAGTAAAAAAAACACGCAACGAAATATGTAATGTGTATGTCTTTTTATTTTCGTGTTTCATTATTTATATTCTCACCGTACATCTTGTCGAATCTGCTGGTAATACACTGTCTCTATAATATGTCGCAACGCTTGCTCGCGTGTGTTTTGTAGTGCGTGTTAAAATCCCTCGCGCAGATGTTCCTTCTTGGCCTCTCACGTGGTAAAAAAGAGAATGAAAAAACATGAATGTCGCTCTCCACCATTCGCAGACTAGAAAGATCGCAGAGTACTGCGAACAGCACACTTCAGCGATCCTTGATTCTCCGTGGCAATCTCAAGAACACGGATAATTTAAAAACCGTCGTCATCGTATGAATATCTCTTAAAACAGCGACGACATCTTCCTTCTCTTTTCCCTTATTATCTCGTTTAATAGACAATCACGACGAACTGCAGGGGACTAGTACTAGAGCACTACTAATGTGTAAACGCGCATGACTATGTATCATCGATAACAAATGCGATTGCAATCAAAAGAAAAAAAAAAAGAAATAAAAATTAAATAATCGCGAGTGCGTTGCTTCGAGAATATATCCCGACCTTTCAAAATTACATACTAAGAACGAGAAAAAAAGGAACAAGTGAACGAAACTAAAATACTGTCGAATACAACGTGCGGAGTGCGATGTGTGAGCTGATCTTTAATAAAGCCATCTTTTTTATTACATATTTTGTTTCCTTTAGTTTACAATTTTATGTTTTTGATTAGATTAATGACAAGATATCGTACGGGCATAATAAGGTAGAGCGATTAATATTAAATAAAAAAAATATTAGAAACAGAGAGAAATTATGTATTAAAAAATTTCACAAAAAATAATTCTATTAATGTAATATAATTTATAATTATGATTATTTCATATATAAACTAAAATTTCTCTTTATTAATTTAAGCCAAGAAAGAAAAAATAGCAATGAAAAAAAGATGGCTTGAACATGAACAGCTTACATCGTACTTGACAGCGCTAATTACGATAATATTTATATATACGTCGTCTTTATATATGTATAAAGACGAGTAACGCGAAAATGGCTGAAAAGCTCGATGCCGCCGGCGTTAGATCGTCGTTGAACGATTCTTTCATACTCTTGTAATTTATTCTCAGAATAAAATCCTCACGCCGTAGACACAGTTTCCAGCGTAACGTCACATAATACAGTGGCGTCCGACGGGGCTACGATGGAGAGTAAACGAATACGAGATGTGTCAGGGGAAAGGGTGAGTTTAGAGGCTGGCTTCGATTTTGATGAGCTCGGCGATGCCATCGTTCATCTCCTTCACAGCCTGATACTCGGTCAAACCGAGACGGCGCTTATTAGAGATGTCGTAGATGCCGCCTTCAGCTTCGGTATGTTCGCCACGAGTACCGCGCACCTGTAGATTGTACTTGGCTGCGACCTCCTCAAGCTTGGCTTTGTTTGCCGCGAGTTTCGGCACTTTGATATGCACCGAGGCACGCACCGTCGTACCCAGATTCGTTGGGCAGAACGTCAGGAAGCCAAAGCGATCGTTGTGCGAGAATGGTAGCCGCTTCTCAATCTCGTTCACCGCTGTCACTAAGCGTCGGTATACCTAGAACACACGAATTAATTAATATTTCAATATGTCAAGACAGCAATTAGATTGTAATGTTAAATTAAATTCGTCAATCAATTACGAGATCTTTTATGAAACAAACATTTATATCATTTTACGTAACACTTACGCACATAAATAAAATATAAAAGTTCCAAAGAAAATTTTTAAGATATTACAAACAAACTTAAGATAATTGGAGGGACTACATATATTACTTTGGATAAATATTGCGAAGAATATTACTACGTCGACCATTAGATATCAGTCTATCGATATTCGCAAATTCTCGTAAATGCTTTGACACGCGTATATCTCTTCATATAAATTCTCGATTGAATAACTCTCCCAGGCATCTAAAGTAGGCTTCCACTACAATGATGAGTCCAGTAGTGGAAGCTGGGACGAACGCCATAATTACGTGATATTCTTCGCAATAAATTAGATTAATTTAAAAGATTTTAACGAATTTATTGGCTCATTGCCCTCTATATTAGTTTTGGCCCTTGCCTGCCTCTCTATATTGGTTTTTAAAAAACTTAATTAAGATATTTTTTTAGATATTTATGTTGACATAAATGTTTTAGACATTTATGCTTGATACGTATAACTGAAAATCCATATTAGTAAAGATAAGAAATTTTTCATTCATGTATAATATAATGAGAAAAAATTATTTTTAGGATTCAGACAAAAGGAGAGTAAAGAATAACAGATTTCAATCTATTAAAATGTTTGTTACAGAAACTAAATCACAAGATATATTCCGTTTCTATTGTTTTCCTTATTCTTTTTATTGTGTTTGAGTCCTGACTTATTTATATTATCATTTCTAAATACAATATATACTGAAAAATTAAAAGATAACTTATTCTGCCCTCCAAAAATAGGTAATTTTCAAGAAAAAGTAAAAAATGATCATGAGATATTTTAAAAAGAATTTTTTAATTTCTCTTTTAGATTGATATTTCAGATGATGATTTGATTTTTTACATATTTTACTGATCTTTTTACAAAGCTACATGGATACAAATGGAAGACCATTAAAGCTTAAATTTTTTTACAAACTTTGCAAGTTTTATGACGTGAATTAAAAATTGTATGCAAATACAGTTTAGAACTTAAAAAAAAATGGACTCTTTTATCTTTAAGTTGCATATTGATTGTTGTACAATTTTTTCATTGATATCCAATATCGAAACCAATTTTTTACTTTAACTGTTCACGAAAGAGAAAATTCTTCTTTAAGGTAAATATTTTTAAAAGACAGAATAAGCGATCTTTTAATTTTTTAGCATAGTGTAAATACCTGTCCAAGATCACCACCCATCTGCATAGAAATGATGCGAAGATGATCTTCTTCGTTACACCAGACCAAGAAAGTCTTGTCGTCGTTATGGAAGATGCCACGTCCGGTGGGCCAGAAACGACATGCGTTCGCAGCCTGAAGGAAACGATCGCCCTCTTTGAAGAGGAAATGATCGTCGATCAGCTTCTGCTGCACTTCCTTGCTCATGCCGGTGAGCGGGTAGAAAGTACCCTTCAGTTCTCCGGCGAGGCCTGACAGCGTGCTGGACACCTTCTCTTCCATTTCCTTATACTGCGCCTCCGTCAGACACGGGTTGAACGGATATCCATCTAAGGAGCGACCACATCGCACGCGAGTCGACACGATATATTCACCCTGTTGTAAGAAGAAAAAAATGTCATCGAGATTTTATATAATTACCTACTTGCATAATTATTATATAATTTAATAATTACCGTTATAAGATTTAATCATACTATTATTTTTTATACGTGAGGAAACCTGTAATAACAAATAAAATTTGTAGGAAGAACTTACGGTGGGATCGAGATTGCCGAAGTAGTCGACATCACCGAAGTCTTTGGGCGGATGCTTGTCGGTCGTCTTGAAGCCACCATGGTAGTCGTCGATGATGGGATCGAAGATCTCGGCGAAGACGGTGTACGCCTCAGCGTCGGGCGCGTAGATACCGACGCCAGAATCATGATTCTCCAAACCAGATTGAATAACGTCCAAGAGAGTAGAACCAAATGAGGTCTTTCTGGTCTTGAGCTGATCGAAGATCTCTTTGGTTAAATGTTTCTTTAGCAGCGATTTGCTGTCGGACTCGACCAACTTCGTATAGCCGGATTCCAGTTTGTCCAGAACCGCTGCGTCCACCATGTTGTTACTCTTTTTACTGTAACAAAATGTTCAAGAATCACATCAAAGATGAGAACATTTTTCATCATAATAATGAAATAAAAAAAAAAAAAACCATTTTTCGTAACTCAATTGAAGGAACCAGTCCAATCTGTTTGAAACCTCTGAAATAACACGAAGTCGAAAAATTTGTGACATAAAACGTCTTTAAATCGTCTTTTAGATGCAAAAAAACGTTTTATGCAACCCAATTTTAGACACTTTTTGTTGTTTGGACTAAGTTTTCATTATTTAATTAATTTGTGGTTTAGACTTCACTTCACTTAACTTAATAATGTAAAAATTGTGATTTTCTAACTATAATTAATAATTAATCAATAAACTACTAATATCATAGTTTTGTAAGTAACTTTAATGCCCATATTCATATAGTCAGGCCTTATATTTAAGACTTCCTTAAGTTTATCTTCGGATGCTCTACGAATTATTTTATTGGCTACTGAGCATCTAAAGATAAATTTAAGGAACCTTAAGTATAAGATCTGACTATGAATATAAAAGGGCATAAAAGTTATTCACTACAAAACCTTCAGTTTAGTGTGATTAACTATGTAGATAGAAGAATACAATTTTTACATTACCATCAGATTAAGCCTGACTACAAATTAACTAGCAAACGAAAACCAAAAGTCACAAATCTGTTTAATTTTGCTTATTCAACAACTTTAGTTGAAGAATTAATTTGCGCTTAATTTTCTCCATTTAATTTTAAGATTAATTTAGGATTAATTCTCCTAATTCACAAAATTAATCCTTCAATTGACATTATTCGCCTTACTCTTTACAGCGTGCAGAACATCAAGAAGATACGCATTAAGAATGCTTGCTGCAAATAAGTACGTAGAGAGCCAGTTGCATTTGTATACTATATTGTTTAATTGCGGGTGCAAAGTATTTTAACATCTGTCGCGTCTGAATACCTGGTGTTAATCCGATTAAATCGGATAATTCTGACTTGAACCGTCCACGTGGTGTTCCGTCGATTTTGTTCAACGACGCGTCATTGCTCTTATACATATATATTTTTTTATTTCTTATATACTTGATATCTATATTTCAGGTATGCTTCTAAAGTTTCTTTGGTGCAGCGTGTGCCTCGTTGTTGATACGCGGTGCACTTGCATCTGCCAACTCTAGGATGCACTGCAAGTTCAAAATTACTGCACGACGCGAGTAAGTGTGGCTCAGTGTAGTATTTGTACAATCCTTTCTCTTTAAGTTTAAACATTCCTTTTTTTTTTTTTTTTTTTGAAGCATCAATCTGGTTCAATTGTTTAATTTTAAAAAATTAATATCAATTCCCCTTCAATGTCAATTACATAATTTTTTTAAAAATGAGAGTTCACGAAAGAACGATCTGTTCATAACAGTTTCCTGATAGGGAAATTCGTTTATGCCTCCAACGTTGTAAGAAATAGACTAACAACTCTGACAATCCGTTCGAAAGGAACGCAGTTCGCGGAGTGCATCCTAGGGTCGAATGCTGAATGAGCATACATACACGTCGTCGTCGTCGTCGTCGTCATTGACGTTCTCGGTTTGTTGGACGGTTTGTTGGACGGTTTGTTGGGCAGTTTGTTGGTCGTCCGCAGACTCGCATATACCCAGCGACGAGCATACCCCGCCCATCGCTCGTCGAAACACAATTATGCGTCGATCGTCGCGTCGATTCGAGAATGAAGAGAGACGAGACGAGACAGTCTAGCTCATGCGAGATCCTCTTACGCGGAACACATACGAGGCGGGCATTGATGTCGCGTTAAACCATCGCGCAAAAATCCGTAGACGTCAAAAAGACCCAAGAGACCAGCACAGCCTGGCAAGGTTTGTTAGACACAATTAAGGAGAAAAGAAGCGGGAACTCAGAAAGTTGCTCACATCGTCATATTCGACTATTCAGATCTTTATTAAGACTTTCGTGTGTGAATAAAACGTCAGATGGATTCTTTCTTAAACTCCCTCCTTCCTTTTAAACTCCTTTTATACACATATACAAAAATTCCCATAAACACATAAAAAATAATTGGCACACCCAGTATACATTATTACAAATAATAATTTAAAGTATCTTACTTCAATAGATGAAAGGTTTGTTCTTTTCAACTGAATTTTTCACACGGTTTCTTTTTTTCTATAAGATATAAGGTGCAAGAAGTTTAGCTAAAGAGAAGAGACCTATAAACAAGTCGCAATTGAGATTTACTTAAAAAATAAAACAAAATGTTAATGTATCTCTAAAACCGAATAAGGCTCTTATAAGAAGAGAAAACAAGAAACGGGGAAAAACAGAGCAAAATAGATGAGAAAGAGAGAGAAAGAGAAGGAAGCGGTCTTTCTCATCCCATTGAAGGATCGCTTTCTCATGGATACGTACTCGTCGCCCGACGTGGTATCCTTCGAAGTACATCCGCCCATGTCGCTGCAACGACGAGGAAACTTCGGCGACAAAGACGACGCCCTTGACGAGCGAGAGTCGAAGATGGGTGGAAAGGAAAAAAAAAAAAGAGAGAGAGAGAGAGAGAGGCGTAAGCCTCTCCGCGCGACGATCGAGCGAGAAAATCGGGAGATCTCGCTCGAGCTTAGACGACGCGAGGATCCGAGGGTCTTTCACGTATTTCTCGCACACGCGATGATCCGGCGGCAGAGTTTTAGGTATACAGAAGCGCACGCTTCCGGTGCACGAAACGGCGAGGAAGAGAGAGAGAGAGAGACACGCGGGTGTGGACGGAGAATCGTCGTGTCCTTCTCGAGTCCTCCTCCTGTTGCAATCTCCCAGTCGCGCTGCACCACCCCCGCGGCCGTCAGATCGAAGATCCCGATGACGAGTCCTGTGACGAGAGTTGAATCCTCCTCGGCCCGGGCTCGAAACGTCAAGGGCTCGTGGTAGCTCGTGGTAGGTCGCGGTGGGTCAAAGGTCGCGGCCGAGAGACCTTTCTCTCGTATTTACTGCCCGTACGTTTCCTTCTCCTCCTCCTCCTCCTCTTCTCTCTCTCTCTCTCTCTCTCTCTCTCTCTCTCTCTCGCTGCCCTTCCGGCTGCCGCTGCTGTCGCTGGACCCTGCTGGTGGTGCTGCCCTTCCGGCTCCCGCGTGTCTCTCCTCTCCGAAGAGCGATCTACTGATACACGAGGTAGTGGTGCTCCTGTTAGCTCTCGCGTTAATTCCGTCGCGTTACAGCGCTCGCGCACCGACACGCCGGCTATACTTCCCGGGAACGAGCGCGATTTTCCACGATGGCTCTAGAGAGGGGAATCTTTCAACCGGTCCAAACGCGGGTCTTGGAAGGCGAAGTTTGGAGAATTTATCAGAGAAATGCATAAAGAGACCGTAGCGGGCGATATTCCCGGGAAGAAAAAAAACGAAAACGTGGATTCTTTCTTTTTTTTTATCAGCCAATTTGCATTAGATATTTCAAACATTCCAAAATAATTCGTTAAATTAAACAGAAAAGTGCTCTCGACACCGCGCCGCAGTCGAGAAAAATAGAGATTTCTCCCTTTCTCTAAATTACTTCCGTAAATTTTCAAATGACTTAAATTAAGCGCAGCGAATACGAATCACTGGATAAATGAAACAATTGGACAATTAGATAACGACAAAAAAAATTGCCGGTCACGGAATTGAACGCGAAAGGGATCAGGGAGACTCTCAGCTCACGGTTATTATGGGGAAAAAAAAAAGGGTCACGCAGGCATTCTCCGGCTCGTAATTTTGTCCAATCGAGCGCGGGGTCTCGTCCCGCTATAATTCGAAGATGGTATAATACGCGTAATTACACACACTTTGAACGTGACGAGAGACGCTTCGCCGAGAGCCGGCCGTCGCATCGAGTCGCACGCACTCTAATAGCTCGTAACAGGTCTACACTAATAATGTCGCTTCAACGGACGATTTCCAAGAGGGGGAGGAAAAAACTCGGCGAACGTGGCTCGAGCTTATGTCCACTATACATCGATCTCTCACTCCGCAGTTCCATAAAATGACGAAACGCAACGCGTCGAGATCCCGGCTGCAGCTTCTAAAATTCTCCACGAGGAAAATCTCGACCGCCACACGGGGGTGAAAGGTCCCTCGTCTCGTTCACGGCGTGTCTCCAGAAGTGCGGGGAGCGGGCGAAAGGGATAAACGCCGGATGTCGAAAACGCGATGCAACGTGACGAAACGAAACGAAACGGAAGCAGCAGCAGCACCACCACCTCTTTCGGAAATTCCTCTCGACGAGACTCAGTCACGTTTCCCGCGGCAGAGTACCCTCCTTTCCTTTCTCCTCTCTCTTTTTCTCCCGTCCGATTTTCGGCCGGGCGCGCCCTTCAGCTTGTCTCGCGACGCGAATACAAAATATACATACAAATATATATATATATATATATGTATTATATATATATGTATATACGTATAAATACGTGTGTGCGGGCGTGCGTGTTACCGGTCAGTGGTTGTAGTGTGCGTGTTTGAGAAACTAACTGACTAATTTGTGCGAATATATAATATATATATATATTTGTGTATATATATCGAACTTTCCTTAAATGGTGAACGAGAATTTTGGTTAGGTGTGTGGTGTGATGTGAACACTACAGTCTCTACGCTATCACTAAGCAGGAGGCGGCATTCTGCGTGCCGTGTTCTCTCTCTCTCTCTCTCTCTCTCTTTCTCCTTCGCTCTTTCGCTTCGTTATCTCCGTCACTCGCGCGGCGGCCGACATGTTTGTCTCTCTCTCTCTCTCTCTCTCGCTCGCTCCCGAGCTCCCTACTCTCTTCAGGGTGGGGCACGCCGCCGTCCGTCCAGCGGCACAGAGGATACCCGGTCGATAGCACGCACGCACACACACACACACACACACACATACCCCGACAGCATGGCCCGCCGTCGCGAGCGGGGAAATTCACGCACACGCACGCCGTGCGTACCCGGTGCGTTCGCCCTCTCCGTGAATTTTCAAACCCCGAAAATGTTCACCCCTCTGGCTCGTCCTCCCTTCGCGCTCCGCCGCGCCGTCCCAGCGGGATATATTAATTGAGTACGAGTAGAAAGAATAATAATATCGAGAATAACATTACGCTAGTCGGGACTGCAGAATGGCAAAATCGAAATCTAATATGTTGATGCTGGGTTAAAAGTCCCTCGAATAACGCCGACGTTTAATATTGACGATTTAACTGTTGTACTGATGACGGAGAAACATTGTAGGCCACGTCACGGCGGAAAGTTTAACAAGCGAGAGAACTTAACAATTTCTAAAATCGATATCTTATTCGCTTGATACTTGACTCGTTATCGAGAGATAAGTGACAAAGAAATTGTTGGAACGTCTACATAATAAAATTTCGAAAGACTTCGCGTTAATTTATTTTAATAAACTGCGGTAATTTTATGGCATCCTGATGAAAGAATTGAACGATGAGATAAATATTAATTGGGAATAGATGAAAACTTGCAGAAAACCGCACGATTTCATTAAGGACATATCCGAAAGAAATCTGCCGTTATACGCAAAATCTCGCCACTTATACCTATATGGAGCAGGAAAATGTCAGTAGCCGGTACTTCGGCGACTTAAATGCGGTTTAGTCGAGCGCGACGAGCGAAGTTACGAGAGCATATTAGCACGGCTGGTGCAATCGTATTCGTGAAATCGATAGCATCGCTAGAGCGCGAATGCTCAAACCACGATATATGTTTACGAGTAACTCGAGAGACGCGACGTCAACGATCTTGGACGGACGCATGTAAAACCGAATTTCGCGACGACACAAATCTAATACATCTATCGCAGTAATGTCAATAACATTTGCGAATTTTTCCTATTTCAATTTTGTATTCGCGGATACACGTCTTCGAATCTGCAGAGATTATATCGCACTTTTGTAAGAAAAGTGACGAGTACAATTTTTATGTAATATTACAAATTTTGTATTATGTGTGTGGATCGTGTTTTAAAAATACATCGGTAAAATCTGGAAAAGTAACATAACGTAAAATCGAAAGCTTTCCAAAGAAAAATGACAAATCAAGTAGAAGTAATATAACACTATAGTAAAAATATTTACTTTTACAGAATTTGAAATAAGCAATTTGTGACACAAAAATTAATTTTTAAAATGCTATTATTTTTTTCTTTTTTGAATAATTTTATATTTCTTATTTATGTTACTTTTCTTAATATAATTGATATGTTTTCTGAATATTGGACAGAATTTCATAAAAAAAAAAGACTAACGACTCTTTCGGATCGATAAAGGATTAATAAGAGCTAAATTAATAAATTAACCAGAAAAATCTTTGCTATTTTTTTCCATAATAATAATAAATATATATATAATAACCTGTAAACAAATTGACATGTATCTAATGAGTTGCGATCTTTGGAAAATTTTTTCATTGCTTTATTTTTATTTAGTAAATTTAGATTTTAATTTAATTTTTCAATTCTCTCAACATCAAAATGAAAATTTAATTAATTAATAAGTTTTTATAAAACGTTTTTATAAAGAACTGTTAAGTACTATACATGTGACCGTTTAAAGCATGTTATATATTTAGAATTTAATTTATAAATATTGAAAACATCGATAAATAAACATTGAGTAATATTGAAAAATTATTTCTCTTTTATTTATCACCTTAGACCTCGTTTTCCTTGACCAGTCCGAAAAATCAGATTTAATTGTCGGAACTGTATAATTCGCGATTCGTCTGGATATCCGGATGATTCGGGGCCTTAAATCCCAAGTCCCAACGCAGCACTCGGGAACAGTGCGTGGTGGGTGGCAAAATTGTCGATTACAGACCGGATGGACGTGTGATGGAGGTGTGACAGACCGTAAGATGTCATTTTGTTCAATCAGCTGTGCATACGCCATTGCATCATGGCTCTTCCGAGACACGGAACGCAATTTTTGCCACGTATTCATATTATCGCGTTGTTACTGTAATGTTCCATGTTATAACCTCTGCATATACATTTATTCTACAAATTGTATGTTACCTTATATATACATTTATTCTACAAATTTCAATAGCCCATTACTCTAATTAAATTAGCCATTAAAAAACCACGCCTACCTTTCACTTGTCTAACAGAAATGTACAAGATAAACATCAAACGTCATATTCAAGCAGAAAACGTTAAACGATTTCAATTTAAAGTTTTATCAGATTGGCTTTTATCAATCCACTCATCAGTTCTGTTAAGTCAGGACTTCGTTATCGTCCAGTTTATTGTAAATTATTTTTTACTGTGCTTATAATAAATAAATATTATTTTCTCAATTATACGATTTATTATACATATATATTATTTGTCTAATAATACATTTAGTGCTAAGCGCGCAATTTGACGATAACACATTAGAATAATGTGACTAATTTCCATTTATCCGTTTGCAGAAACATGTTATTCCGCGAAATTATCATCGTTATTATAAGCGGAAGCGAGAAACGGCGATTCAAAAGACTCGTTAGTGTGGCTCGCGTCCACCACTTCACTGCTTGCCTCTTCAGCTTCTCAGAGGACGTTCAAAAGACCCATAGGGATTATGAAAAGGCAACCAAAGTGTCGTCGGCATAAAAAAGGCAACTGCGATGTAAATTTAACACAACATGCAATTTTCATCGACGTGTATACACAATAACCATTTACAAAAAGATCTTTATCAGAATCAATGCTTCACTAAATGTCTAATACGATTGTACTAACACAGTTAATTAATATTTAATTATTATTTATATATCGAGAGAAAACCCTTTTTGGTATTTGTAACTATAATTACATATTACTAAAATTATCATTGTTACTACTTATATTATTAGTAATAATAACTATGTTCAATCAACTAATATATATAGTTGACACAATCGAAAATGACTATAATTACAGTCATTATAACCATAAAAACAGTTTGAATGATTTAAATTACAATTGTTATAAGTCATTTTGGACGGACACAATTATAGTTACAAATACAAAAAAATTTCTCTTACTGTACTATCCATATATATTTACAATTTATAATAATTATAATAATTATAAATATACTTTCCAACTTATAAATAATATTTCTTATATACACGTATAAAAACTTGGCAATTAATCACAAGTAAAATTCGAGAAATAACATTTTCATATTCCTTCGCCTTTATCTTGTTGCTTAGAGAGAAATGATATAACTTATCGGGAACTGTAAGTGATTGCAATCTCGAGTTCTGGGATCGCGTTCCACGAGTATCTTCGGACGCGATAAAATTATCGCGACACCGAGTATTTGATGGCAGGAACGATCATGACTCGTTGGGGTATTTTTCACAATCACCACATCAAAGATAATGACGATGAACCTTCGTCGTGACACGACAGGTTACATGATGCAGTCAGTCTTACTTTAATCATATTTTTCGTTTATCATAACCGTATTCCTTACGTAATGATTTATTTCGTTTCACGAAGGCGAAGTCAATATTTGAATATAGCAAAGTAACGATAACGTCTTGCAGCAATTAAACATTACTAAGACGTTGCAACGTCTTATTTTTATCGCCTTAATTACCTTTCGTAAGCAATTGAACAAATTTCCACTGTGATAAAGACTACATAAGAATTATTCAGGAATTATTCCTGGAATGTTTAAATTACTTTAAATTATCACAGATATTCATATCTTTAAATTAAAAAAAAAAACAATATTAATATTGTACACAAGTTTTTTCTCTTTTATAATCGTAAAATATATAATATTAATATAATTTATTATGTATCTAGTTCTTTTAAATTTTAAACATTAATTTAATACTTTTACTTTAAAAAAAATAAATAAGCATACTTCGAATAACAGTTTTAAATTTCAACAATATTGAAGAATTCTTTGATATCGTTTTCTTTTGCATACGTGCTTGATATTGCATTATCATTATTTAATTTCCGGCAGTATAAGTAATCAATAAGCAAGATAATTTCTCCGATTGCAGTAAAATCGATAAAAGCAATGACAACGGTGCTAAATGCTGGCGAGCAGCTACTTGTAATTAATCGCTGTTATTTATGCGAGATGCAAATCTCGCGAGACTGATATTTGCACACGATGTTTGCGTAGAACTTAAGAGGATACAGCTGTCGCGGTGACAATTCGTAATATCGATCTTACATGTTTACTTCAACATATATTTGGTGCAAAAATGGAACAGTAGTAGAATTCGCGAATGTACGTAACCTAATATTAAGGTAAAAATATGTAGCACGATTACTAGGATGAGGTTTATTAAATTCAAGAGATTAAATCTATTAAATATTAAATCTGAGAGATTAATTCATAACATGAAATTTTTATACTTTAAATCCAATTTTTTTGGACCAAGATTATACCAATAAAATTATATTAATAAAATCTGCAGTACACAATTTAAAATTATTATAAAAAAAAAAAAAAACTTATAAAAAGGAAGAACTATTTTGAAAATAACAAATAATTATGATAATAAAATATTTACAATGATGTTTACTCTTTAATACAACTTAATTACTTGCTAAATGCTTAATCATGCCAACAAAATCGACATCTCTCTCTTATTCCAAAAATATCTCTCTTACAGAAAAAATACTTTAAATACTTAATTTTTATTTTTATGGTGATTTATTATTCTGTTCCTTGTTAATAATGCATTATTCGATTTACAGTTATATATGGTATATCTTAATTACTTTTTAGATCATATTTTTTGCGTTTAGCATCATTTAATATCGG